ATTTTATATTATTTTATGGGTCAAATTTTCAGTTTGTTCAAACTCTGCTGTTGCTTATTTCGTTTCATTTTTTATTTCGTCACACTTTTTTCTTCAGAACCACCATTTATGGTAATATTTTTCCGGATTTCATAGTCCGCCATTTTTTTCCTCGCTGTGTGATTTTGTAGTTTATAGTGTCATGTCGAATATGCAAGTTCAGAAGTCAAAATGTTCTGTTCTGGGGTGTGTAAACCCACATTGTTATCTACATAGACTACCAGCGTCAGAGCTTCTTCAAAGTGCCTGGTTAAGTTTTATTTTTCAAGGAAATGGACCCACAACAGGGCGGAAAGTACTTGCGGACAACACAGGATGAATGTTACAACAACAAGGGTGAGTTATGAACTGTAAATGTGTTTTAACTGTCTAATTTAGCTGTTTCTACCCTCTGTGTCGGAATATGAGGGGGGAAAGAACAGCTGTGTTTAAGTTTCTTTACCGAACGGGTACTCAGCACCATGTTGTTTTACTTTCACTTTCGCCCCGCACTGTAATCAGCGTGTCCGTGTTGTTTATCTTTTTAAAAATGCTGGAGCATTTCAAACTGTGATCTAAAGTTAACGTCAGCTGTTTTAAATGCATTTTTTGCCTGGTGTTAAAAACGGGAGCAGTAGAATGAGGCAGAGAAGCTGTGAGCGCTGTGTATGTTAAGTCCTCATAAGGATAGCAAGATGGATGTGTGTCTCTCCTTTTTTTTCTCTGTGTTGCTGTTTTTGCATCAAAAACCCTGGGGACATAGCCATTTTATGTAACAAAATAAATTAATCACATTAATATACAAATAAAAACAGAATATTTAGCGCTAGATAAAATAAGTAATGAAGAAAGGGCTTAAAGAAGTTTAAGAAAGGGCTGAAAGAAGTAATCCTGTGTGGCAGCAATTTATACGGCCTCTTCAGACAAGGCTTAGTTAATAAATGTTTTTTTAGTTTGTTTTGTTTTAAATTAAGACTTGTGTAACATTTGCTATCATTCTTATTTTTATCATGTTAATGGAGGGAGGAAGAAAAAGTAGTATCGACTTCAAGAATCGGCCAAAAAAATTTCGGCTGCAGTGTTTTTTAAGTCACTCTGTATTTGTTTTTTTTTTTTCGTTATTCAAAATACTGTGTGTTAGATGAATTTTAATGGTGCAACTTCAAACTAACATGTAATATTCTTTTATGCTATTTTAACCAGACTGTACCTGGCTGCAATGCATTTCAATGAAAATGCACGTCTGCAGGCAACTACCTCATCTGGAGAGCCCATGTAGATTATTCTTTCCCAAGTTCAAGAAGGGAGAAGGCACAGCAAAGCCTATCAGAACTCCTGAAACCCGAAGTCATACCACATTAGTCACTTTTAGTATGCCAACTTGATTTCAGTAAATCAAAATCATCCAAACTATAATTATATCTCCCTTATTCAAAGTCGTGTCACAAGGGCATGTGATGTGTGAAAGTGTTGAATGAAAAAATTTTCCTCACAATGTAAACAAAAATTACAAAAAATAAATGAAACTTTATTGTTTCTACTATGCAAAGACTGTGTATATTTTAATGTTGTTGATGTTTTCCAGACTGCGCTGTGGATTCATCTCCAGTTGTCCCAGACAAGGCCAGCATCTCCACACCACCTCCTGATGCACGTGTCTTCACTACACGTCCTGATGCCACATCGTCACACCACCCTTTGCACCACATCTGAACTCAGTCCACACACAGTGGGAGGACTCTTCACAACAGGATCACACATACTTCCACACATCTCGCAGAAAGGACGTGCAGGACAAGATGACTCAGTGTGATGAGGTTGCATATTTGTGACCYATCATATCAAAATGAGGATTAAGTCGAATTTGGTCAAAATGATCTAATTACCTTTTCAGATTCTTGGCTTTAAAAGCTACATTTTGATACCTGGATCATTCTGATATCATAATTAAATCCATATATATGACTTAATTTGTCTTGTTGGTTACAATAATACATAAAGATTTGGTCTGAATCCTAATTTGATGTCATTCTAATGAAGAATTTTTGATGTCCTTGTAAAGAGGAAACCTCAAATTATATTTGAATATTGAGATTTCCCAGCTAAAAAAACAACACTTTGCTAGCTCACAGGGGAAATCTTAAAAATTTAAGGCGTTTTTCCTCAAAATCAGTTTTTTTGTTGCTACTGTTCAAAATACTGCTTCAAAATTTTGTTTCATGATTAAATTTCAGACAGTTCATTCAACTGATACATTGATAAGGCTTTTATTCATTATATTTTGACAAAATGCAATTTTTGTTAACATTTTAGTCAAAACACTATATTTGCCTATTTCTCCATATATGTACAACTTTTGGACTTAATCCTCATTTCAATGTGATGGGTCACATTTCATTCTACAAAAGAATTCAAAATTTTTTACTG